CATTTTGCCTTGTTTTTTTTCTTTACCTTTTAACTCTTCACAATAATTAAGAAATTTATCCACACAGCCTTTTTTTTTCTTCAAATATTCAGAAGTCAGTACAAATAATTGGTTTAATAATTTTATATTGTTTTTTAAAAGTCTGAAATAAGCGAGTATGCAATAATATTCTCCCTTTAATTTCTGGTTTTATTTCGTTGTTATAATCCGGAATAAAAGGAATTTGTTCATTTTTAATTTTAGCCCCATTTTTTAAATAAAAACGGACAAAGCCACTTTTACCGGCTTGTAATTGTTTAGCAATTTCGGCTGGATCTTTGATGTGAGTTGGTTCGCCATAAGGTAAGGGATAATCTCGCATAATTTGACCGTGGCAACTTTTGATGTCGATTTTTTTAATATTCTCAAAATTTCCCTCCCTTAAATTTTCAAAACGAGGTGGGAAAACCCAATCACCAATTGCTTCGTGGATTTCTTTATTATGAGTAGGATGTTCGCTAACAAAATCAGGACACAATTCAAAACATTTTTTTAATGATTGAGTGCCCAAAGTTTCTATGTTTTCTTCGTTAGCACCTCGTAATTCCTTGATAATTGCCTTGCCGATTTTATAAGTCCGGTTTTCTTCATCTGCAATCATTTTTTTATCTTTTTCCTCAATTTCAATATAAGGTCAGTCGTGATGGGAACAAAATACAGTGATTGGATAATTTTCAATTTCTTCTCACTTAATTTTTCGAAGTCCTGGGCTATTAGGTTTAATTATTTTATTTTTTCAGTCTAATCAATAAGTTATTTTTTTGACCATGATTTTTATTTTCTTTTTCGCCTTTTTAATCTTTTTCTGTCAAAAACAAAAATATGACAACTCCCTCAATCTCCCCCCTTAATAGCCGCACGGGTTCTTTCTCCTTCTACTGAAAAATGCCACTGCTTATTAGCATCAGAATGCTGCTTAGTCCCGCACAATCAAGTTTTATAAGTATATAATCAAAAACAGTGCCTGGGTAAAGATGGTGGATGGTAAGAACCATAATAGACACAATCTGCACACCACCAATTACTAGTCCCTTGATTTTCTTTACAACTCCCCAATCCCATCGCCTCCACCCAACACAAAGCCTTATCTTTTTTTAATTTTCAGGTTTGGATTTCCAACTCACTCCCTTCTTGCAATATATACTGTTCTTGGGCTACATCATGCACCTCTTCTTTTACTATCTCCTCTAAACTTGGCACCTTCCTTCATACACTTCACATCCTTCCAGGTTTATTACTATCTAATCTAATAGTTTGTCCCTCTTTTATTTTAGGCATCCCATATCTATCCAATTCTACTTCTTCTTCCGGAACCTCTTCCCCCCGAGGAGTAGTCCTAATCCACATCTTCTGTCAGGCTTTTAAATAATATTTACGAGTATGAGTAAAAGGATTGTTTTTATAATATTTTTTTCAAATATCCTCAAAGCCGAAGGATTTAGGGGGTTGATTGGTGGGAATAAGGAAGCGGTCTCTTAGTCTTCAAGGGCTTTTTAAGTAGAGTTGTTTGGATAATTCTGCTACTTGGGGGCGGTCTCTTATACTGCCTCTACTAACTAAGAGTTCTTTTCATAATTTTTGGAAATCTTTTTTTTTTGTGAAGAATTGTCGGTGTTCTCCTTTTTCCGGAAAAAATAATTTAATCTTTTGTCCTCTTT